GGATCGATGTACCCCGAGTACCCTTTTCAAAAAAGCCGCTTTCAGAGAGTTGAGTTTGTTCAAGTTTTGGGTTGTGAGATGGTCCCAAATCAATTGAACCCCATAGCTAGCAATGGGAGCGACCTTCAGTTGAAAAAGTTGGAGCGCCGTAGGGAGTGAAAGCTTCTGGGGCGAGGGTATCGTTGCAAACGCTATGAGCGCTTTTCTGACCCTTTCATCGATGTGCTTGGTGAAACTTGAGCCGGTCGGAGTCAGCGTGATACCGAGATACGTGAATTTGTTCACGTATTTTATCTCGCTGTGGTTGAGGTGCAATTTGTCTTCTTTCGCCAGGTGGCCTCCTCGCCTGAATTTCATTGCTTCGGTTTTCATTTTGTTGATCGATAGTCCGAGCTCTTTGACACTCCTGGTCAGTGTGCATAATGCATTTTGGAGGTGATAAGTTTCTGTCGCATACATGACGATGTCGTCAGCGAACATAAGTAGTCTGACTGAGGGATGTTTTGAGATTATGGTCTCGGGTAGCTTGCCAGTCAATACTGAAAACAGTATCGGGCTCGTATTTTCTCCCTGGGCGAAACCGTTGGTCTGTTCGACTGTTGTCGACAACGTGACGCCGTCGTCGATGTCAATTCGGTTCTTTTGAAGAATGGCTCTCAACAGACCGAGCAGCTTCGACGGGACGCCTCCCCTGGCGAGTATCTCCAGTGTCAGGGACCTGGATCCTGAGTCGAATGCTGAGCTGAAGTCTATGAATACGGCGTGCATGTGATGCGGCGGGCGGTCGAGAGAGCTCCGGATGTCTCGCATCAGTATTTCACATGCACTCAGTGTTGATCTACCTTCACGGAACCCATGTTGTTGGTCTGGAATGATGCCTCTAGTCTCCAGGAACGGCACCAGCCTTCCGAGGATCAACCTGGACAGGAGTTTCAATATGTTGCTCTTTTTCGTTATTCCGCGCCACGAATTGGGGTCTGCGGGGCTACCCTTGGACTTTGGGATGACTATCATCGTGCCATTACTCCACTCGCTGGGGAGGGTACCAGTATCTAAACACTTGTTGAATAGTTTTTCCCATGTCGGGATGAGTCCCAACGACCGCTTGATATGTTCGTTGTAAACCTCGTCCGGGCCGCATGCTTTGTGCGCGGGGGAGCCGGGCGATTGAATCGTAGATTTCGGTAACAGTGAATGGGCTCTCGATTTCGTCTCTATACAGCATCTCTTGTTCGTTCCATACGGCCGAATATTGCGGAGTTTCCGACGGTACTGTATCGACTGACGCCAGCATATCCTCAAAGTGCCTTCTCAGATCTTTCGGGTTGACCGGACAGGACGGCCTAGGAGTGCTCATGAGTTTCAACCAGGTGTATGGGAGTTGCGTAGCGCGTGCAACCATTCTCCTTTCATATTCCAACCAGTGTTCCTGTTTCGCTTTGTTGAGAGTTCTTCTGTAGTGTGCTTTCGTTCTGGCTAGCAGTGGACTCATGTATTCGTGATGCTGTTTCAAGATTTTGAGTTGGATCATGATTTTCTTGGTCCTCGTGCACTCGGGGCTCCACCATTGTCGCTCCCTGTGGGGTTTCCTCGGTAAGGCACAGGTTTTCAGAATGCTCGTTGCAATTCTATTGAGCGTGTTGACGTCTGCGTCCCCCACTATCAGTGGATCATTGCCTATGACTGCGAGGTGAGCTCCCAAACGTCGATTTGGCGTGAAGGTAGAGCTCCGGGCGATTCTTTTCTCCCCATGGCGATGTTTCGGATCTGTATCGAGATCGGCGAGTGTGTCGACAGGAGCTCTCCCTCGGCCAGGCTCACACTGATTCCTCCAAACCTCACGGCTGCGAGTGGGAGGTTCGTCGCGAACAGATCGATCGTCGATAATCCCATCGGGCCATTGAATGTTCTGAGCTGCGGGTCGTTCACGACGCAGAGTCCGAAGTCCCATAGGGTTTCGAAGAATGCCGTCGTCCGATCTTCGTTAGGTTTGTTCAGCTTTGCGTTGAAGTCCCCGGCCAATACGGTCCTCGCGTCACTGTGCACCTCACTCAAGCATCGTTCTAATTTTTCAACCATGTCAGCTGTGCTTTCAGCCGGGTGCGGGCGTATGTACATGGCAACAATGTCGATGATTTCGCCCTTGATCACTACACAGTTGTCTTCTGTCATCATTGTCTCCATGTTCCCTAGTCGTTCATTGTAGTAGACAGATACTCCTCCGCTGGGGCGCCCGAAACGGCTTGTCCGGTTTGCCCCGCAGTGAGCTGCGTAGAACCCTTCGATGGGGGATGGAAGGGTTGACCAAGTTTCGGTCAAGATGAGTACATCTATCCCCTCGAAGGTTGAGGGCGGCAAGACTGCTAGGGAGGTTCTTGCGCCCTCGCAATTCCACAGTACTATCTCCGGCTCTTCCCTTTTGGGCGGCTGGGCGTGAATGACCCGTTTTCGAGAAGGGCCCGGCTCAGGAGTTCGCTCAGGTTGGGCCCTCGTTCCCTGGAGGTGCGCGGCTTCCGGGTATGAGATAGGCTGGGCGGCGGGGTGTAGAGGCGTCTTCGCGGGGGTGCCGGAGGTGTTTGGCTTTTTCGGGGACTCCGCCTTCGCGTCAGCCTGTCGACGAGCGCCTGAACCTCGGACTGTGTGAAGTTTCCCGAATCTCTTGCGTTTCGAGTACTCGGTGTCTGCCCTTGGGGTGTCGGTTCCGGGCCGAGGCGTGTGGCCGTTGTCGGACCACTCACTCGATTTACCTCTTTGCGTTTTTCTTGAATGACTCTGACGTCCAGAAAATGAGCAGCTTTTCTTGCGATTGACTTCGCGCAACTGTGTGTCATGTCATCCAGTGAATTGTATGAATAGTTCCCACTGATGACCATGCTCCGATGTTGCTTCGTTAGGTTGATCACTTCGATTGGTAATGGGTCCTCAACAGCGAGCAGCGCTCCGTTGATTTCCCTGCAGATTTCCGTGAACTCGGGTACGCTTACGATCAAGATGTCGCAGTCGGGGCGTGTAGTTTTCAGCCTTTTGGAGAAGTCACGGATCTTATCTATGTATTCCGTTGACTTGAAATTCATGGCCTCATCAAAGCCACAGTGAATGATCAACTGCAGGGGTTGGCGGTTTTCGCTTATGGCCTTCTCGGCCTGGGCCAGGATTGATGATACGTCGGGTTTCGAACTGCTCCTGAAAAGCACAGAGCTTCTCTTCGGCAGTTGTTGGAGGATTCTGTGACGTAGTCTCCTGGTCGAACTGTCGCCGACGATTAGGACGGATTTCGTCGGAGTTGGGGACGTTCGATTCGTCCGGGAGCCATGCGCGGCTCCGATCAGCTGATCGCTTTGGTCGGAGGGGCGGGTTAGGGTGACAGAATGATCGCTCAGACACCGAACCTGGTTTTCCAGGTTTGTCACCCGTGAGAGAAGTGATGTTAAGGTGAATTCACATTAGTTCATTCCGGAGGGACCTCTCGGATGCACAATCAGAATGAAAGGCCGTACGGACTTCCCTCGCGGAGGCGTGATTTGGCGGCTTCAAAGACTGTGGCGCGGAGGGGCAGATCCAGTTCGGCTCGACGACAGCCGAGAGAGCGCGGGCGGATTCAAATAATTGCGAATTGCTATCGAAGGCTTCGTCGTCCTTCGGGTGAATTGCACTCTAGAGGCTCATAGCTGAACTTGATCGTATCGATTCCTGAGCTGGAAGACGCAAAAACGCCGATTACCGATAAATAGGACACTCGCACTAGTCGAAGTTCTATAGTGCAATCGAGGATTGGCACCATTTTAGCAGAGAAGCAGGTCAGAAAACGCGGAGCAATAGGGAGAAACGAAGGGTGAATGAGGTTTGGAGGAACTTGTCGGGATGGAGCGTGTTTGATCGCACAGGGGAGGACCGTGAACCGTGATACTTGGTTTACAGAATGGGTCGCGCTTCAAAGGAGCAGGAGATGGTGCGCGCCGCCCTAAAAGTTGTCGCTCAAGGAATGATGAGGGCTATTTGGAGGAACAGAGACGCACCCAGACGCCAGCGTCGTCGGTGGTGGGTCAAACCATGGATCCAAGCGCGAGACGATCGTGGAGCTTCCTCAACACTATTGCAGGAGTGGGCCAGGGTGACTCCTTCAGACCTTCAGAATCACACGAGACTCAGCGAAAGCCAATTCTCCTATTTGCTAGAGAGAATCAGACCACGAATTGAAAAGAGGGACACGACGTTTCGGAACGCCTTGCGACCAGAATCGAAGCTCCACATGACATTGCGCTACCTTGCGACGGGCGACAGCATCGGGAGTTTGAGCGCATTGTATAGAATCCCTAGAAGTACATTCTCTTCATTTTTCCCGGTCGTGTGCAAGGCTATTTACGACGCTTTAGAGGAATTCATTCAGGTACGCAGGTTTATTTGAATGCCACAGATGCGGGATAGGCGAGTAGGACTATGGCAACGGGGGATGCTACAGCAAAGTGAGATTGAAGGCGTTATCATCGTCGTCTTCAGTTCTTCTGGTCGGAGAGAAGACAGCCGTGGAGTCGTAGTACGTAGAGGTCTTTGAAGCGCGTACGAAGTCGACAAGTTCGACGCTCAGCTGGTTCTGAATTTTGGCCATAAGCAGCGCGCTACGCTCAGATGGCAATCGTTTCAACTGGGCGGCAACGCACTCGCCGAACGAGTCGTATTCATTCTGAGGGTCGCGTAGAGCATTCGAGTCTGAAATCCGCTGGAGCGTGCTGATCGCATCGCGAAAGTCGGTATCTGATGAGGTCCTGTCATCTGTAGAGCTTTTCTTCTTGCTTCTGCGGGGCGTTCGGGATTCCTGCGAGTGGGAGCTTGACGACGGTTGGGAAGCAGGTCTCGATGGTCCCGGCTCCTCCTCGACTATCGGACTCAGCGGGACTTCCTCTAAGCATGGCTCGTCTGCCGCACACGTTGTAGCGTCAATCTGCAAGAAGAATAGATTCTCAAGTAGCGATATTTCTCCGACAGATGCCCAGCTCGGAGGAGGAATGGAAGGTTGTGATGCAGGAGTTCGCGCTCCGTTGGCAATTCCCTAATGCATGCGGAGCAATAGACGGGAAGCACGTCACGATACGCTGCCCTCCCAAGAGCGGGTCGGAATTTTTCAACTATAAGAAAAGCTTCAGCATCATATCGCTCGCCGTGGTTGACGCACGCTATAATTTCCTTTATATCGATGTGGGGACAAACGGCAGAGTCAATGATGCTGGTGTGTTCGAGAAGTCAAGCTTTAATCGAGCCCTGGAAGAGCAGGTTCTCGATGTACCCATCGAAGGAGTTTTCGTCGCCGATGACGCCTTCCCGCTCCGCTCCAACATCCTCAAGCCGTTTTCCCGTTGTGGGCATCTCGATGAGCGCCAGCTGATCTTCAATTACACTGCCCGACAGAAAAAAAAAATCCGGATAACAAACTAGTGGATGGTCATCATGGGATGATTCGGGGTCGCAGATTCCGAATCTATCGACTGTTTTCTCGGATTGGACCTAGTTTCTTCGTTATTGGTCGCTTTCCGTGATTCTCGTGATATATGCCTCCTTAATCCTTTTTCTCTGCCTGAGGGTGAGCTAGATCCCTGAAATTTCGGAGAGGAGTACTCCTCTTTGCTGGCTACCCCTGGGACGAGTTTCATGCCATTCGGAGTTGTGGTCTCCGAGCTGGAAGACTTCAGCGGTCGATATCCTGGAGAATTCACCCCTTCCCCAGCTGATAGCGAAAAAAATAGAGCTCTCCCTGCCACCCACGGTCGAACTTTTGCGAATAGAATCCAAGCCCAAATATTTTAAGACGAAGTTTATTGAGATGATATATATGCACAG